AAGAAGAAGAAGAAGAAGAAGAAGAGAAACGAAGAAGGAGGAGGAGGAGGAGGAGGAGGAGGAGCAGGAGGAGCAGGAGGAGCAGGAGGAGCAGGAGGAGCAGGAGGAGCAGGAGCAGGAGCAGGAGCAGGAGCAGGAGCAGGAGCAGTTAGAGGAGGAGGAGGGGGAGAACAAGAAGGAAAAAAAGGAGAAGAAGAATTAAGTAGTAATACATGTTTCAAAGTGGTGACTTTTTCGTTTGTTACCCTACCTTGGGAGAGAGAGAGAGAGAGAGAGAGAGAGAGAGAGAGAGAGAGAGAGAGAGAGAGAGAGAGAGAGAGAGAGAGAGAGAGAGAGAGAAGGGGGGAGAGAGAAAGGAGGCCAGAAAGCACTAACAGAGGGAGGATGGTGAGAGTGACAGGGGGTGGGGGAGGGTCGTCGAAAGCGCAAAGAGTAGTCTAGCCTACCGTAGGCCTACTTAATGTATCGAGATAAATCGAGATCAAGAAGAATCACGAAATGAAAGTAGAATCTAGATCTGTGATATTTCGATAACCTATTGAATATTGAAAGTGGATTTTTCTTGCTGAGCATTATAGATTCTAAGATCTAGATCTAGGCTAGATCTATGTGAATCTTAGATCGAGATCAAGTATGATGAAAGTATTGAAAGTTGATTTTTTCCTGCTGTGAATAGATCTAGAGTCTAGAACTAGGCTGTAGGTGAATCTAGATCGAGATCAAGAATCATGAAAGTATTCTTGAAAGTGGATTTTTTCCTGCTGTGAATAGATCTAGAAATTTAGGCCATCTGTGACGCCTGTCGGTTGTTAAAAATGTGAATTTCTAAACTTAGATCTATCAATGGGCCAAGGCTCCTTCTTTCAATTATTGGCCTATGTCTTTGTAATCCTTTGAGATCTAGGCTAGATCTAGAATCTAGATTAGGTTCTTCTAGGAAGCAACAATTGGCATGTTCTATGACGTAAAACACACACAATAATAAAATAAAAGACGCCAGAAACAAGTACTAGCCAAATATTACATCAAAACAAGGCCCTCGCTGGCTCCGTAACTGTCATTTCTATTCTATAGCGCCGTAAAACACCTACTATGCCATGCCTAAGTTCATGCGCTGTATCTATAAAAAAAACATAATAGGATAGTCAACAGTGGAAACCTGACCTATAAATCGCTCTTTGGGATAACCCAAGCGATGACGACACTTGTAGACAGTTTGGCGGTACATTAATATTAATAAGACGGCACATCTCAAATGTGCTCCAGCCGAATAGAGCCGAAACATAGCCCACTGTAAGCAATCTAAAAATAAACACCATAGACTGTGCACTATTCCATGCTAAAATTATGTGGGCCCCGGAGCAATCCAGCGCTATTTTAAGTGACTCTGTGACCGTGAACCTGAGGGAGGTGAACGTGACATACTTAAGTCACAGTCCTATGAGTTGTGCTTTTGAACGGTTTTGTAGTGGGGTGGTGAAAGTTATTACTTGAGTGTTCAGTTCTACTGCTGGATGAATGAAATTGACGTTTAGCTAACTAACAGATTTAGTTCTAGAAGTCAAAGCCACAAGTAAAAAGAATGAAAATAAAAGCACAAAGGTCTTCCTTCACCAACCCAAAGATCTTAAAATTATACACGATCCCATTTACTCTGCCCTTGATTGTCTTCAGCCTAAGATAGCTTAATTAATTGTGCACGCCCACTTTTTTGACCCACGAGCCGCCCCTGCCTAACTCTTATTTTAAAAAAGTGATTGAGCTGGAACTTTAGGAGAAAATGCCACGCCTTCGAAGAGAGAGAAGAAGTCTTACCTCTAGAGGTAGTCAAGAGGGGGGAGGGGGGGGGGGGGGGTGCTACATAGATAAATTCAAGGTAAAATATTTGTGTTTTATTTTTTTTCCTGTTGTCAGTCTTTTTCCTCTTCTTAACTCTCCTAATAATTCTTCATTATTATTGATTATTATTCCGTTCGCAGAACGGGTACTTTTATTACTAGTAATATTATAATAAAATAAAATCAATCAATCAATAATTTAAAAAATAATCATATTAATAAATAAAAAGTCTCTCTCTCGTTTTCCCTCTCTCTCTCTCTCTCACTCTCTCTCTCTCGCTCTCTCTCTCTCTCTCTCTCTCTCTCTCTCTCTCTCTCTCTCTCTCTCTCTCTCTCCCTCCAGCCCTTTTCTGTCTCTCTCTCTGTCTCTCTCTGTCTCTGTCTCTCTCTGTCTCTCTCTCTGTCTCTCTCTCCCTCTCTCTCTCTCTCTCTCTCTCTCTCTCTCTCTCTCTCTCTCTCTCTCTCTGAATGTAAGCAAAGGGTCTACGTAATAAAAATATTGTGTATCGTCTACTTTAGTTATGTACTATCTTCGGTAGGCCTAGATCTACATTATCCTAACTCGCTCGCAAAACCGTCCGAATCAAAAAGGCATAACCAACCGCGCCCTCACGCTTTTGAAAGGGGACCGAAAGAAGGCTTTGCTAGGCCTGAATTTTGGGGGAAGGGGGCAAGGAGTTTAGGCCTTGGGCCTCCGGTTAAAAAAAAAAAAAAAAATGACCTAAAAGGATAAACCGCCAATGAGCGA